AGGTAGATGGTAGGCATTTCAGAAGATCAGATTTGGAACTTGGCAGCCGCAGACTACCGAATTCCGACAATGATGGGGGGAATGACTGCACTTCATGGCAAAAGAACTCTTTCATATTTCCCTCCYGGCTTTGAAGAGCAATATACAATTGAGAGAATAGGTTTAGGTTTTTCTGTAGAGCTGTAATYTTCTTTCCCTGCTTTGAAAGCTCTTTCTTAAGATTCTTGTGAAAGAGAGGGAGGCTGTTCTTCTTAATTGGATTGTGGATGGAGGCGGACCGGCTTGTGATTACTTTGTCAACATAACTCTTATACTGTTGTACACCAATGTCTTCTATGTTCTGTAACGATTCCACCACTCTGACATCTGCACAATCTCTGTTATTAAGGGTAACTAATTCGGGAAAGTCGTCGAGGAAAGGGTTACCTGTTCTTCGAATAACATCACATAGGTTCTTTACTTGAAGATGAAATGCTTTCTGTGCTGCGTGACCTGTTTGGTGGTTTTGGAAATACTTTGGATCATCTGGATCATAGTCTGTGATGAAGTGTTCATCGAACTGTTGTATGATTCTTGACAGTTCAGGACCTGAGAGCATCCACCTTCTGCGAAAAAAGAAAATGCAACTTAGTACAAAATTTGMAGTTTTGTGATTACAACAAAGTCCAAGGAATGATATTTGCAGCTTATGGAAAAAGCCATGATTGTGTAGCTTTTAAGACATACTACAAACATACCTGAATGCTACAGGATTCTCTGTTAGACCAACAACTCCACCATCACCTTTTACTAGTTTGTTTTCCTGTTCGTGTACTTGATCCAGGGGAATTGAAGAGAATCTGTTCCCTGTTTTGCTGAGTACCCAATGGTGATGTTCAAGAAACTCATGTTTGATCGATTCTGGAAGGGACTTCATATCTCTGATATGAACCGGAACCCAACGCGCATAATTAATGTGGTCGAGTGCAAAAAATAGTGGTACCAGTTGCTCTAGAACATTAACAAAAAGAGCAAAGTCTTTTTCTCTGTGGGCGCGGACAAATATGAGTATCAGAGTCTCATATTTCATTAGCAAGTCCCAAAAGTAGAATGTTGGACTTCTCTTTTTTAAAGTATCTTCCCAACATGAGAGGGAGACTTCGGTGTTACCATTAGCACAATAGATTAGTAGGGTAACTTGGTGTGCATGCCTACATAAACAATGATATGTTACATTAGGCAATTTCATTTCGTGATGAAAGTCTTTTTAGTACTTACCTGGTCCTAGTRAGATGGGATGCTTTGAGTAGACTCTCTGCTACTCCTGATGAAGCGATTTCAGCTTCTGCTAGAACAGAGGTCCAGCCACTTCCGTCAAGCAAGTCACCAACAGTATTCCATAAAGCCATTTCTAGGTGTAGCCCACCAAACATAATAACGTACTTGTTTTCACCATAATCATCAGGCCACTTCCACTGAATAATTTTTGCCAATGCAAACAAAGGCTGATCTAGTGTTAACACTGGTACTTGGCCTGGGTTAAGAAATGATATTGCGTCTCTCAAGACATCCATGCCATGCTTGATCATTGAGGGATTATCTGCCTTTTCATAAAATACGGGAGTAGTGCCGTTATCCCAGGCGAATCCATAATCTGTTGTTGGTTCTTTGAGTGGTAAGCAGCCCATGCTATAAAGTCGTCAGTGTCTACGGTGTCTTTGCATAGCTTTGKTAGCGCGTTTCTGACCCAGCGGTCCTCTTGCTCGATCGCCTCATCCAAGCTAACATATCCTTGAACTGGTCTTGTGTTGGAGGCTGGTACTGAATCGGAACTTACATTTAATGCCACAGCTGGCACGGTTGCATAGCTTTCTGGTAATTCGTGTTGGACAGTACTTGATGGAGGAATAATTAATGGTGGTCTACATTGGCCAGGAGTAGCACTTGAAGGAAATTGGAATATGCTTATTCCTGTCCCATGAAATGAGGACGCTGCTGTAGTGGATGATGTGTTGTGGTCGATGTTATCAAGTGCAGGCACAGAAAAAAWTCCTTTTCTCAAACTAGTGGGTGAAACACAGCCATCTTCCTCGAAACGCTCAGTGAGAGATGTAGCCAGCATGTTTTCCATCTCCAGTATCCGATCATAGGAAATGCAAAGGCCCAACTGATACATCTTTTCTATGAGCTTTCGACTTCTCGTCAAGCTATGTAAGCTCAGTCCTATATACAATGGCAGTGGCGGCTCGCGAGCTGTTGAATGACGTGTTAGACCAGTTTTGGAGTTGACAGATCTCTTCTTGGCATTAAAGATCACAGTTTCACAAATAGTGAGGCAAGCTTGGCTGTCAATCTCTGATTTTATATCAACTCCATGAATTATCATTGAAATGTTAAACTGGATGGTACGGATTTAGCTTGGCAGGCCAACGGAAAGGATCCAGAAAAATTGATTTATGAGCAAAAATGTCGTTACGAATTATTTTTGCTGCTTTAACGAGGATTTCAGCATCTTCTGAAAAGTTGCGTTGACACATTGCGTCTTTCAGCAGTGTACTTATTCCTTTAGTGAAAGCTAAAATGGTGTTTTCCCCATCGCTTTGCTCTTGGACGTCGTTTTTAAAATGGTCTAATAAGGCGTTTTTCAAGCGRGTCTTATTGATGGTTTTGCTGATTCCCAGGTTCTCCAGTCTATCAACATACAAATTGGACAGATCAGTCAGTTTAAAGAGTTGCGTCCCTTGCTCCACGCAACTATCAATATATTGTATAAGTTCTACAARTGCTCTTGATTCATTCATTTTTTCGTCTTCTGAAATCTCCATAGAACTCTGCTTGASTAATGCACGATATCGGTTTCTTAAAGATAATAAACACTCGAGGTGGTACTTGGCCTCTATGGCAATGAGATCTCCTTCTGAGATGCGGCCTAATAATGTGAAATCTTCTAGCTCGAGGGCCATCTGCCGTATGCTCTTATCGGTTTCTAAYATCGTAAAGGAATGAAGTTTGTCAATTTCTTCTCCACTATTACAAAATATGCAATGCAAACTCTCTTTTGTAGCGCCTGACTCCCGTTTCCTACTAATCTTAGGTGTTGTTTCTTCTTTTTCGTGTACTGCACTTCTTTTGAGGCTTCTTTCTTGGGCTTTGAGAACGTTTGAGGCACTGAACTTAAGGTGACAGGACTTATGCCACGACGCCTTATTCGTTACTAAGGTTTCGATATCAATATCTATGTCAAACTTCAATTCCACAGGGACTGCATTTGCCTCTTCAAAGCTTTTGACTTTAAATGACTTATACGCCTCTGTGTTACCTTCTGGTGTTCCATGGCTATTTAAAGGACATTTTAATGGCTCTTTTGTTAGCTGCTGGCATATGACACACTTCTGCCAATCTACAGCACACATCATTGTACTAAAGACTGWTCCCTAAATGACAAATACAGCTATAACTTAATAAAAATTAACATTTTAATTAASCAGATTGTGTTGAGCTACTTACAAGTATTTAGGAATAGTTCTTCGTCTGCTCATGACATGCAAGTTCATGAAAGTGACATTTTCAATACAATTTCGTGCACAAATGTCTTCATTAAAGCTAGTAATTTGCATTGCACGAGTTCTTTTACGTTAACATMAAATTGTGCTGATTTTAACACTTTTAAAAGTATAATTTTCTGAATGTATTAGCCCTTTTCTACACCCACACCCACTGAAGTTGAATATCAAGTTTGTTCGTTCCAAAACAACAAGRTTTGTTAGAAAATGGYACAGTTTTATATCAATTTTGCATGTCCTAAGACTGGTAAGCGATAAAATTTATCATAATCTATATAAATACAGCAGTCTTAACAAAGAAAAATGCAATTTTACAGTAATACTTACAGGTACAACAGTCTGGACTAGACTGAACAGTCGCCATCTTGGATAAACGGTCGAGTGAAGACTGGAACCTATCTTTTTTCATAATCGTGAAATCCGTCCTTTATAATTTTTTTTTTTTGACAGAATGTAAACTAAAACTGATTCAAATGTTAGATATACAATATTCTGTTTATGAAATATGTATTATGTGATTTTAAGTCCATTTCAATTTTAAAAACATTTTTCACCACAGGAAGCMCAAAACGTGGATGAAATTTGATATCCCCTTAAAACGTGAACCTGTGAAGATTTTCTTGGGCACCCCTTCCAATATCATTTGGTAAGACCTAAGGAGTCTGCATGCCAATTTTCATGCTTTTATCACACTTGTCACGATCAGACTAAAATATTCCACTAAGCTACCTGACTATTGGCTTGAATTTGAAAGACGACAAGCGAAAACGTGCATTACTTCTTCACTACGTAGGCGATGCGGTATACGACATTTACGAAGCGGAGAAAGGCGACTCCRGAGATACTTACGAAGCKACCAAAGGTGTCCTCACGTCCTACTTTGAGCCAAAGCGAAACGTCCAAATGGAAATCTTCAATTTCAGAAATTGCAAACAGAAAGTAAACCAGTCACTAGATGATTTTGTCACTGAACTACGTACATTAGCGAAGAACTGCAATWTTGTGAACACAGATACCGAAATTCTGTCTCAAGTAATTCAACATTGTAAATCGTCTAGGTTACGAAAGAGAGYCCTCMGMGAACCCGACAAAACACTAAAAGAAAAAAATGAAATGGGCCGATCACTCGAAATAGCAGATTTACAAGCAGCAACTATCGAAGACGAAGCCGTAAACACGGTTAAGAACACCTCAAGACCTCAGCGAAAACCARACACAAGACAGTATGCCACTACGAAACYAGCCGACAAAGAACACGTACCGCCAAGAAATCGACATTTTTCAGAMAAAGCACAACGATTACCGTCTTCACCAAAAAACATGTCTCAGATGTGGAGGAAATTACCCTCATAGCACATCTTGCCCAGCAGTAGGCAAGACCTGCAATTACTGTAAAAAGCAAAACCACTTCAAAAGTGTATGTTTTAAGCTTAAGAAAAAGAGTCAAGTGAAAATGCTATGCAAGACAGCCCTGAAACGGATGACTCTGATGATGACTATTTTTACTCCATACATCATGCTGTCAACAACGTCAAAACAGCCCTACCTGAGATAAATCTTAAACTCGACAATGTCAACACGACTCTGTTAGTCGATACTGGCTCTACAGTTAATATTATTGATGAAAAAACACACAAGCAACTAGGACAACCGCAGTTAAAGAAAGGCTCAGCACCCAATTTATATCCTTACGGAAACACCACACCACTACATGTCCTCGGACAGTGTGAAATCTTACTGGAAACAAAATCACAACTTCAGTGTCACAGATTCTACGTCATTAAAGGAAACCGTGGTTCACTGATTGGATACCCTACTGCAAAAGCACTAAATTTAATCAAGATTGTTCATAATGTCAACGATCCTACCACGACGTACCCACATCTTTTTGAAGGCATCGACAAACTTAAAGATTACAAAGTAAAAATACACATTGATGAATCCATACCACCTGTTGCACAGAAACACAGACGAGTACAATTTAACAAAAGAAACCAAGTCGAAGAAGAAATACAGAAACTTTTWGATCAAGATATTATTGAAAAGATAAATGGAGAATCAACACCATGGRTTTCTCCAATCGTTGTCGTACCCAAGAAAGAAACAGATGCAGTGCGAATCTGCGTAGACATGAGAGAAGCAAGTAAAGCCATATTGCGTGAAAGACACCAAATGGCAACTGTTGAAGAACTAAAAACCTATCTTATCAATGGAGCTAAAGTATTCAGTAAAATAGATCTTTCCTCAGGATACCACCAATTGGAACTACAAGAATCATCAAGACCTATCACAACATTCRGTACCCATATTGGCCTTTTCAGATATAAACGCTTGAACTTTGGGATATCCTCAGCCCCTGAGATATTCCAAGAAACGATACGTAATGTTTTACATGATATACCAAATGCCAGAAATATAAGTGATGACATTATTGTCTTTGGAACAACTCAAGAAGAGCACGCCAAAGCATTAGATGAAGTTTTTACAAGGCTTCATGACAAAGGACTGACCKTCAATAAATAGAAATGTATGTTCAACCAGGACAAAATTGCATTCTTTGGCCTTGTATTCAGCTCRGAAGGAATTTSGCCAGACCMAAAGAAAGTCAATGCGATTAACAGCGCACAAAGACCAAAAGATGTATCGGAAGTCAAGAGCTACCTCGGAATGACAAACTATTGCAGTCAATTCATTAAAGACTATGCTACAATTTCTGAACCCCTACGACGCCTCACCAAGCAAAACACTCCATGGCTATGGTCTGATGAACAGGAAAAAGCATTCACGTCCCTCAAAGAACAATTAAGCAGTGATACAGTAATGACATACTATGATCCCAAGAAAGACATTGAAATAATTGTAGACGCTAGTCCTCTTGGACTTGGGGCCATCTTGACACAAGATCAGAAAGTACTAAGTTATGCCAGCAGAGCACTTACAGACGTAGAGTCACGGTATAGTCAAACAGAACGAGAAGCCCTGGCTATAGTATGGGCTTGTGAACACTATGACATGTATACCAATGGAGCCAAAAGCTTCACGGTAATCACRGATCACAAACCCYTAGRGAACATTTGGAAAAAGCCCAAACCTACGCCTAGAATAGAACGATGGGGCCTTCGTCTACAGCCTTATAAGCTCACCATAAAATACCAACCTGGAAGCAGCAACCCAAGTGATTATTTATCAAGACATCCAGTAAATACAGGAAARATGTCACTACAGCAAAAGGTAGCTGAACAACATTTTAGGATTCCCTGGAAGTTGCTCGCAAGATAGAATTTGGTAGATCCAACCAGCCTTCTTGCTTTTTTYCCTAAGCTGCAGTAAAGAGCTCCAAAATGCGGACTCGCACACCGCCACTCGTATGKGCTCGTCGTCTGGGTCTATGGCATATGTAGATTTTGGAAGGTCGTCTTGCCGGTCAAGCATATCTTTGACAAGGCTTTGAAGGCATGCTTTGTTGCTCTCGTGGTACATTAATTGCGCGTCGTTGTTGTTGTAGTCTTGGATGCATGTACAGAGCGTGGAAACCAATGTGTCTTTCATACCGGCCTAAAGTACAAAACAAATTTTAATAACGTTCAAATGTGCAATAATGAATATTCCATAGCAATAATGTTGGGAAAAATATCAATGACCTTCTTTCTCGCGCGAMTGGGCTTGACATCACTCACGTCTAAGCCAGACCTCATGAGTTTAGCGAATACCACTTGCTCTAWCTGATGTTTGTAAACAAAATGTACTTTAAATTCATAAACACTTGAAGATAGAAAGATAGACAGCATACATCGAGGTTTGCATATAATCAAAACAAATCATAATATTAAATATATATTGAGTAGTAAAGATAGAGCTGATTCCTCACCTCCACAGAGAACTTCTCAGCAACGATCCAGTAATTTATACAGGGATAGGATGCTTTCTCTTCCATGCTTTCGCCATCTGGTTTCTTTCTCTTCACTTTTTGTTCCTGTATATCGTGCTGTTCCCAATGTTTCTCCACGAATTTTGGTTAAATTGGGATATCTCTTAAACGCCGTATTCAAAGTTCACAATTTTTCCTCACGGAATCGTAGCAGTACTATTTGAGCTAAGGAGACCAAAAATGGAACATCTAGCGCAATGSCCAAGAAGTATTTCCAGAAGAGAAAGAGGAACAGAAACATTTGGGATATGGCTACCTACCTACCTACAATCATGGACAAAATKTTTGGGACAACTGTACAAAATTTCAATTTTTCATTCTTCSCTGTAGCGTCTGTCTGTTGATTTCATGAAAAGTTTGTTGTTACACAGCACATTCATGTACGAATCTCCAACTGTCTGTGAAGTGTGCTATCAGAAAAAAAAACGACTGAAAACAGAAAATTTATGTAGAATCTTAGGCTTTATAATGATCTCGTGTTTTTGATTGACGTGTTCATGACTTTGTGGTATCCCTGTGTCCGAAATACGTTGGCCCACAACTGTCACGGCAAAAACCACAAACCACGGCACAACACACAAAACTCGGTTCAAGTGAAGTTAGAGGSCACTGGCCTAATATTAAGTATATATAACACGAATTCAAATGCCAAGTACGACGGCATTAATGCCAGATRCGCGTTTTCAGAGTATTGATTCAAATGCCAGATAATATATACGATACCAGATAACGTGGTTATATGTTACGACGCCGGTGTATCGGTCGAGGTGGTAAAGTTATATATATGGTAGCATATATACCGACGTTACATGGCATTGTTATATATAACGACGTTACATAGTTATACATAATAGTTATATATAATAACGACGTCACATGCCATAGTTATATATATATATATAACATGGCATTGTTATATATAACGACGTTACATAGTTATACATAATAGTTATATATAATAACGACGTCACATGGCAGAGTTATATTTAACGACGTCACATGGCAGAGTTATATATAACGACGTCACATGGCAGAGTTATAACGTCAGTTGTTATGACGTCACACGGATAAATGAAATATGACACAGACATGACGTCATACATATGACGTTTTTGCATGACGTCAAAACAAGGCACAGGTAACCCATGATAAACGAAAAACATCGACTATTTGACAGCTTGGCAAGCAATGTTTTTTTTGAGATGCTCTCTTCTTGTCTAAGTATTTCMATTTTCCAAGACTGGGCGGGGGCATGTTTAAAGTGGTAATTTGCATTAATTAGTAATTAGAATAAGTAAAAGAAAAAGCCACACAACTTGTAACTTGGTTTACACTCTTAATCAGAASGTTTCGRGCATTCGCCCTTCTTTAGCAAACCGCTTTGCACGCACGGGTGAAATGTGAAAAGCTGATGGCACCAATACGCTTCTCTATTTAAAAGATCTCGTTCAATATTTTATAAATTGTTTAGCAGACATGTATCAAATTATGTTTTATTCTCAATATATAAAAACTTGCGCTCAATGCCGTCACTTAACTGTATTCTGCTTTTGGCTGTGGGTTATTGAGTTTAACCCGTGATATTATGCTGKAGAAGTAGAGGTATTCGAAAATCAGTTGAGGTAACGGATTCATGGAGGCTCCCCATGGTATGGACTAACGTAATAATGTCTTTTGATAGTAATCCAAGGAGAAGGAGGTAAGCCACTTTGGTTCGATAATAACATACGAGAAATTAACAAATAAATGACATAAAAGATAGATAAAAAGGCAATGCAGGCACCAATGCTATCGAGTTGAATTCATATACATCTTTATGGAAATTCAAAGTAGGTTATTTGTGATGGTTTTAGTAATCGAGAATCTTTTCGGGTATCGCCACATGACGCGCGTTGGTGATTTTGAGAAAATCGTCTAGTCGACTAAAGCGTGTGTACAGTAGATCATAAAACAGAGGAGG